CCCTCCCCGCCTCTCCCGATACCCCGAAAGACTCCCCTTGCATCCACATCGACTGCGCGCCATCATCCGCCATCCTAGTCCAGCGCATCGAGTGATCACTGCAAGCCCGCCTATCATCTGGTCAACCACCTACTTGTCACTTGCATTCCACGCTCGACCTTCGGCCCTTGCGTCTTTCGCTGCACGCACCACACACGCCTCATACACGTACCGCTTTCTCCCCCACACTCGACAACCACACAGCTCCCCCAGTTCTCCCGATTAGCTCGCAGTCTAATCTTCCACCCACACATCCTCTCTTCCGCCTCCACCGCTTCTTCGCGTCCAACTCTCGCAAGCTCTGCTTCTGTGCTGCTGCAGAGAGGTGTAGAGAATTAGAGGAGGGGTAGGAAGAGACGCACGGATAAGCTGCTGCTACGAAACACCCCCCGTCTGGCTTCCATTGTGAGTTCCTTTTCCACAACCAAGGCCGTCGTCGTTGCGCCCTCGGGCCCTCGGAACTTGGGGTCTGCCGATCATGCCGTTGCCACCATGTCACCACGATCACCACCGGTACCGCCGACCAGGCAACGGCCTTTGTTCTCGATTGTGATGGCGGCATGGCGGTGGCGATGGCGATGACGATGACGATCACATCCTAGAGGGCGAGAAGCGTGATAGGCGTGTGAGGGCGTGAGGGCGTGAGGAGGAGGGGCAGGAGAAGAATGTGCATGAGTGCGAGTATGCTAACTGAGCAGGAGTCTAGACATCAAGACGAGAACGCGAAGACGACAAGACTTTCAAGATCCATTGTTCCCCAAGTGGCCAAGTGCCGATAGAAGTGTCCAACACACACACGTTGAGAGAGAGCTGCACAGCCGCACATTGTGGCGTGTCGGTCTCGGAGGCCTCAAACTAGTCTCAACCCCCGTCATCATCGGATCGACCTTGCATCCTCTCTCCCGCGGGGCTCTCGGCCCTCGTCGACGGATCAGTCCTTGCCTCCCTCGCCCTTGGTGGTATTGGCCCAACACCCAACACCCAACACCCAATTCTCCACCTTACTCCCAGTTGCTCCCATCGTCACTCACCTCCTCCCTCGCTTCCCAAATCAACATTTCTCATTCCCCCATCCTCTCTCAACTACCACATTCACTTGCACTTGCATTCGCAGCCTCCTCTCTTCGTCCGACAACAACGAGCGATCGAGATCTACGCGCACTCGCACAACACCACTCCCCCTTTGTCGTCATCAGCCCATAGTCAAGCTAAGCGCAAGCTCGCTGGCTCTCCTCTGTTGACAACCCAAAGAGGACGGATCTACAGCCCTCATTCCTCCCCTCACTGTTTGCGGCCCCAATTCAGTCCGCATCCACTTGTTCGTCAGCCGCAGCCAAGACTGGATCAAGGCGCGCGACGAGTGAGTGCGCGGTGACATTCAGAGTGCTCACCACTGGCACACGAAGCGGCACTTGCTCATCACCACTTGTCCCCCCGCCCCCTAACCCCCCTCCACCTCTCCACCTTCCTCGCTCCCACACCCGGCCCATCCACCTCGCCTTGCCTCGCCTTGTGCCAACCCCTCGGCAGTCACCCCGCGCTCGGTCTCGATTCCATCATCAAGGCCCCAGATCTCATCCCGCTCGCTGCCCAGACCAGCATCACATCGCGACCCCCACATCAATCCCAACCCCCGGGCACCGCATTCAATCGCGCGTTTGTCCTGCACACCACCTCGAGTGTGACTGCCATCCGCAGGCCTCCCATCACACGTTTGCCTGCGCGCAGCATTACTGTGCCTCTCCACCTCCGAACCGCTCTCGGTGTCTCGATCCGCTCAGTCGCCACCTAGGTTGATTGCGCAACTGCCCTGGAGCACAGACCTCGGGTCTGTTCATTCCCTGTCAAGTCCTCATCGGCTCTCGCCTCTGACGCCTGGCAATCCACCTCGACCTAACACCCACCCATTCCTCCACCTCCCTTGACTCTCTCTCTCTCTCTCTCTTTCTCTCTCTCTCCGCGCCCCGCTCACGGCCATCACCTGCATCATATCGCAGGATCGCGGCACTTGTAACCCTTCCGCTCAGCCTCGCATCTCCAAGGCCCCCTCATTGGCTCACTCGCAGTGACCTGCCTTGCTTCTTTCCACCACCGCTCGGCCGCTCGGCGCAAACATACCCTCCTGGACCACTCACTTCCATCCAGAACACGCGCCTCATCCTCGCCACTTCCATCCCTTCTCCACACACTCTCTCCTTGGTTGGATGTCTGCCGCAATGGCAGCTTCATCTAACCAACAGTTCATGTTCCCACCCATGACTCCAGCCACGGCGTCAAGCACAGACCGCCTCGCATCTGGACCAAACCCTCGTCTGCCACGAGCCTCACTAGGCGACACGACGACTTCTCCCAACACTTCACCCTCCGCTGCCGCAAGAGTCCAGCGCCCTCTCATCCCAAGACTCAACACGTTTCCCGGCCAGGGCAACACCATGCCCAATACGGGTGGCGTCAACGGCGCCGGCCCTCACATGGGCCAGTACTACCCGACCGCCGCATCATCCCAACAGCCTCAGGCGCCGATGGATGCTTCTGGCCAGTCATACGTCGGCCCTACGGGTCACGAAGCGGGGGTGACACACTCATCCTCCATCGCACCCAACACCGTCGGCAACATGTCTTTCCAGCCTCTGGGCGGATATCCGCAACAGCAATCATTCAACGCCCAAGAGTACCAGCAGTTGCAGCAGCAGCAGCAGCAACAGCAACAGTACTTGGGGCAGCAGCAATACATGCACAGCACAGGTAACGTGTCAGCTTTCCCCTCAAAGGTCGACCCGTCCTCCAACGCTGCTGCCGCGCTCTGGAAATCTGGCGTGTATGGCATGGCCCAGCCACATGTGGACGGCTACGCCCAAGCCTTCGAGTACGACCAATCGGCAGGTATTTCGCAGGTGCACTGGAATCAGCAGCAGCAGCAGATGTACCCACCGACAGAGCTTTTCAGCCACATGCCCGGTCCAGTGCCACCATCAGCGCAGCATGTCGCCTCGGCCGCCGGTGGTCCACCTGGTCCCTCTTACGCTCCCATGGCGCCTCAGCGATCACTCTCCCCACCACGATCCCCCAAAGCCGCGCCCAAGAAACCACCACGCCCACCTAATGCTTGGATCCTCTACCGCTCGGAGACACTCGGCAAGATGTCCAAGGGCGAGAGGATACCACTCCTTGAGCAAGTCTTGCTCGAGTCATACGGTCCTCCCAAGTTCGCTGCTCAACCATGGCCGGTTCAAAACGAAAGCACCGAGGAGGATGACGGCACCGGCGCCAACAAGGGTCCCAAGGGCTTCCGCAAGGGCAAGAAGGGCGGCAAGGACATCAACTGGTACATGTGGATGCTCGGTCTTATCCGCTCGCCCGATGGCGGCATGCCCCAGTCCGATGTGAGCCGGATTATCAGCAACATCTGGAAGCACGAGCCAGAAGAACAGCGCCAGTACTATGACAAACTGAGCCAGATCAAGAAGGCCGAGGTGAGTCTTTTCCACGTGATCAGCGCGCGTTGATCGTGTTTCATCCACATGCTTACGCCCCCAGCACAAGGAGATGTACCCCGGCTACAAGTTCCAGCCTCAGAAGCGCGAGGACAAGCTGCGCGAGAAGCAGGAGAAGTTGAAGGAGAAGGAAGCTCGGCGACAGGAGAAGGAGGATCGCGTTCACCGTAACTGTAAGGCTGCTCGTGGCCGGACTTGTGCTCACAATAGCAGCCCTCAAGCGACGCAAGCAACGAAGATCGCCTTCCGCAGAGCTCAGCGACTATCATCCCTATCATGTGCCCGGTCACGCTCCCATTCACAAGCGCAACTCACATGGCCCGGTTCACGAGCTCGAGCATCTCGAAGTGCCCTTTGAGTGTAAGTGTCTCGGTCACAATTACGTCTGCGTCAGCTAACACCTCTGTGCAGCCTTCCGCGTTCCTCCTGGTGCCTTTGACGCAACGGCGTTCCCCAACCTCTCGGGGGAACGTGTGCCAAGCGGCTCACCTTCGACACAGGCTTCTCAAGCGCCCACAAACGGCGCCATCACCGGTCAGGGACCCTCCCCTCACCAGACGCCGCCAGCAGGGGAGGCCTTGAACCAGAACCCAATGGGGTCTGTCGAGGGAACGCGACCTGTCACGTGGATTGACGTGCAGCCCGTCGCTCCGCCTCCCCCTCAGCAGAACAACCCGTTCCCAGACCTTGCCTCCTCTTATCAGCCGGAGATGGGCACCGAGAGCCAGTACTACTTCCAGCCTCTCACGGGCTCGATCCCCGTCGACTTCCTCAACGGCCCATTCGATGAAACGGCCGACGACGAGCTCGATAACCTCGTCAAGGGTTGGGCTGAGAACGCGAGTAACATCGACGTCAATTTCAACGACCTCACGTGGGACACTCATGAGACAACCAACCCGTTGCCAACAGAATATGGCGGTGGACCGATCATGGATGCGATCAAGCAGGATTGGAACAGCTTCTTTGGAGGCGACAGTGCGGGCGCCAACGCCATGCAGTCGGGCGACTATGGCACTAACATGGCCTTCTCCTTTGGCAACATGAACCTCCCACCAGGGCCATCGCTTGCGGGCGCTCTCCCGCTGTCGCCTGTCGACACGCAGCAGCAAAGCGAGCCTCTGCCCGAGGCTAAGATCCCGGACTGGGTCGTGGGCTCCAGACCCTCGGCTTCTGGCAGCAACAATAGCTTGCCGTCGCCTTTCAACACTGGCGCTGGTTCGACCCCCTCATTCACGTTGAGCGTCGATCCGTCCTCGATGGGCTGGACTGCTGGTGGCGAGCTCATCTTTGATGACGGCACTAGCTCGGCGGCCAACGCTGGTGCCGCGCCCATGCACGCCCAGCAGCAGTCACCTCAGAGCCAGAGCCAAGGTCAGCAGAGCCGCAACCCATCTGGAGCAAGTGCGGGCCAGTACGGGCAAGCGTAGACGACACGTGCGAACGATTGAGAAGGACAAGGGTTTAGGCGGGCGGGTGGCGAGGCAGCATCCCCCAGTTTTATGGGCTTGCCTCCCGATCTCGGTGCCCCGTCGTGCAGCAAAGACTCGAAATCTGCCTGGACAGCTATCTGGGAACAGTGTGATAATCGACTGTATTGAGAGTGTATTGTAGGATGTGTCTCATTGATGTTACTGCTGCTATGCTGTGAGGAGATGACCGATCGTGTTGTTGTTGCCACCCGCCACTCACCCGTCCCACGCGACGTCATAAGGCCAAGCTTCCGCTCGGCCCCTCTTGGCTCGTCCTCCACTTGTCCATCCATCAACCTCTGCTCTTTACAATTATTCATCCACCATGGCTTGTAAGTAGTATGACACGACAGGTGTTGCTACCTGGGTGGTGCCGACTAGCCCAACGCGCTCGACCAAGCTGACAGCAGGCATCCCCATCATCTGTGAGCAGCTCAGACCGACACTGCGTGTCTCGGTCCTGGCGCGATTGACAGCAGCTAACAACAGTCGGATTCCCCACCAAGGTAAGAACATGTCCTGCGTTCGAGGTCGTGTGCGTCTATGTTCTCGCCCATCGTCTACGGCGCCGCTCTTCTCAGTCTCGGTCGCCTCGGAAGTGCGACACTGCTGGTGTCTCTCCCCATTCCTGGGGCTGCACCTTCGCTGTCGTGTCGTGAACTGAGTGCCTCTGCTTTTCTCTTGGCCGTTCATCCTTGGCTGTAAGGTCATCCACCATGAGCCCGCTTGCGCGTCGCCACCCACATCACGCACCCTTCTCGCGACGGGCGCGCGGTTGGAGTGGCAATGTCGACAATCCTCGACTGCGCGCTGCAAGTCGCTATACGGACACTGCATCGTTCCATACCTTGTGCCCGAGGCTTGGTCCTGCGCCCATCTGGAGCATGTGTTGTTCACTTGGCAACCTTTCCGCCGTCGTCCACCGTGCCCGCAGCCGGGGGGCGTTACCTCTCCTACGGTCGTGGCCGGCGATAAGCTGGATGTTGCAAAGCCGTTGGGTATAGCGGCCCTCTCTTCCGCACCCCTCTCGCCGCACTCCGCGCCCGTCCGATTTTGCGCATCTGTCTCCAACCTGCGTCTGGGAGCCGGTAGAGGGCACCCCCTACGGCAACATCCAGAGAGCCACCTGCTGCGCGATGCTGTGCGCCAAGACTGAACCGGGCGAGATGGGGACGGAGATGCCCTGACCTCCGGTGCACGCTCGCGTGGCATCCGCGTGTTTCCAGCCGTGGTGCGGGTCGTTCAGGCAGCTCTCGCCGACATGACCGCGGTGCGGAAGGCGTTGCCTTCAAGTCCGTCATGGACGCAATTCTGCCCGACACCTTGTTTCTTCGTGACGCGTGGTCACCACCTGGCTGCCAAGTCTGCTGTCATGGAGTGAGCGACGTGACGCACTGGTGGACTTGGCATGCCCGACCGATAGCGAGTGGTACATCACAATTCAAGGCCTTGAGCAGCCACGCGGCTTACGCAATCTCCTCGCGTCCCTCGATCCTGGCATGGCGCCTGGCGTCGTGCGTCCAGCGCCACCAGACGCCGGGGAATGCAATGCACTGAGGAGATGGAAGGAAGCAGCACAACGTTTCGTCCGACAAAAACTCCCCTCAACGCCCGAGATCTCGCTCGGAGCCCAGAATATCGCGCTGACCCATCAGATCAAACAGGACAATGAAGTTGGGCCTGCTCGCATCTGCCCTCACTGTCACAATGGTGGGTGATGACATGGAGCGCCACGGCGCCACCTGCTGCTGGGGCCCGGCGGGGAGTGTCGGCTAGTATGGCTGACGCGCAGCGGGCGTAGTGGGCGCCGAGTCGCGCACCTGGTTTGAGCTGTTCTGGATTCCCCTCATCCCATTCTCGAAGAAGCACATCTGGAAGTGTGGCGTGTGCCGTGAGTATACGTCCAGGCCTCCGAGATGGCATGACCCAAAGCTGACGATCTCCGCATATCTTTGGCCCCGAAACTTGCCTGGCACACCTCCTCCCCTGGCATTACTTTGCACACCGGCGTCGTCATCCTTCCCCCCCTTCCCCCTCGTGCGGCATGTTCCACCCGCGCCGTCATCACGCGATTTTCTTGGGTCGGCGCGCACAGAATGGCAAATGAAGAAGGGCGACGGCTACGACCCCCAGCCGCCTGGGCCCGGCCAGATGGGCGGCCCGCAGTTCGGCGGACACATGTCGGGCGGGTATGGGCAGTACCCTCCGCCTCCGCCCGGCATGATGGGCGGCCCGCCGAAGCACTGATTATAGTTACGGGAAGGATGAGAAGGGTGTGCGCTGCGTCGTCAGGCTAGTCACCTCTCCGTACATCCGTCCTCGACCTCACCTCCCCCGCCCTTGCCCACCCAGGCAAGATTGCAGTGCTAGGACCAAGCCAATGCGTGGTATTTTAATGATGGAGATCGCCGATCGGAGGCGTCGAGTATATGCATGTGGCGTGTTGCTCCAGACCTCCGCAGCTCCGAGATCGGCGGACGGCGCTGTCCGATACCACAAGTCGAGCAAGCACCGATGTGCATGGAAGCATGGAAGCACCGACGCTCTGACATTGGCGTCGCACGTCGTCGTGGACTGCTTACGAGACAGCAGGAACCCGAAGGGCCAAGGGCTGAGGCCGCTAGGCACAGCGGCCGCGGCCAGCGGCCAGCGGCCAGGGGGTGAGCATGTCAGTGGCCGCCGTGGCGCGGGGGCGTACAGCCGAGGATTTTACAGTACTTTCCGCCGGCGCGATTGCTGTCCCATGCCCGTCAGTTTTCAGTCCAGTTGTGGCCAGTGAGCGTGGATAAAGTTCGGCGCTTGCGATCATGCGATCAAGCCGATCATGGAAGCTCGGTGCCACTTGAGCTTGAGCCAGAGTGAATCGGCTGGCGCCAACGATGAATGCGGGGGGAATTAGCTGCTCCATCAATGCCATCAGCATGGAGCTGCAGAACCGCAGATTCGCGGCGGGCGGCGGGCGGCGGCGCGCGGCGCGCGGCTGGCGGCTGGCGGTTGGCGGTGCTCGGCTGCGTTTCCGCATGGGACGCCACGGCGCCACTGTACGCGGCGAGCTGCAGGAGAAGGGAGGATGATCAGGGCCCGACGCCCGGATCCGGGTGCAAAATGCCATTGATCATGAGCGGCCAGCCGCCAGCCGCCAGCAGCCAGCTGTGTAGCGTTTGGCTGGTACAGAAAGAAAAGAGAGCGCTGAGAATCAGAAGCCACAGGCCAGCGGCCCCTCGTGTGTAGAGTGCAGGGGTTGGCAGGCGGCTCCGTTGCAGATGTGGGAGTGGGTGAGAAGTGGGAGCGAGTACGAGAGTGAGAGTATGGGTCACAGGGGAGCGCGTACCTGAGGCGCCTAAACCCAGAGCTTAATGTCCCTGTGATTTTGTTGCGTTGCCGGCTCATCGCGCGCATGCATGCATGTTCGGCAAGGCAGAATGGCAAGGCAGAATGGGCATGGGCGACGGCACAGTGATCGGGCGGCAGGCGGGAGGACGGGTGGGCGCTGTGCGTTGGCGGGCTGCGTGCGCTGCGCCCTATGGCATGGATTTCCCGAATACTCGCAGTATCGCAGGAGGCAGGAGGCAGTGAATTGCTGGACGGTCGCACGATCGCACGAGAGCACACGCAGTCAGCAGTCAGCAGTCAGCAGTCAGGCTGTCGGTCGATTGAGAGACCAGAGAACAAAGTTGCTCGGCGTACGCGGCGTACTATGTGAGACGGCCAGGCGCGCCCACCTCTGCAATTGATGGGAGGAGGAGGAGCCGTATACGGCAAAGTGTGGCAAAAGAGCGAGTACCGCAGGGACCCAGATTGCAAGGCACACCAATGTGCCTGTTCCTCGATTTTTGTCCACGAACAGTGCTCTTTGGGAGCTTGGGAGACCTTGTCGAGCAACCCCGCAAGCAGCCCGAGCAGCCCGAGCAGCCCGAGCAACCCGAACAGCTCAGCAAGGGCCAACACGGAGAGCAAGCTCGGAGAGGCACGGATCAGCAGCACCTGTACGATCTCGCGGCGACTGCCGTTTTTTGCCATGTCGCCATGTCGCCATGTCGTCGCTTGATCGCCTGGACGACATGGTTTATCAGAGTATTCCTACCTCATGAGGGCGACGCCGCGAACTGAGATGCCGTAGAGAAACTCTACTCAGAGGTCGCGGCGGTCTACTGTACACGGCATCACGCTGGGCCGGGGTTTATTTCTTGGCTCATGAAAGAGTAGACCAGTAGAGCAGCAGTTGACAGAGTTGTCTCCCCGCTCCCCCCTGGCCACGGCATGGATTAAACCTAACCTGCGTGCTGGTTACCAACCGTCAGGCTCAACGCCGCGAGGTGCTTGGGAGCATCTGCAGACTGTGCTCTCATTCCGCCGCAGCCCCCGCCGCAGCCCCCGCCGCAGCCCCCGCCTCGGTGCACTGCGTGCAGAAAGCAGAGCCAAGACAAAACTCATCACTCTTCTGGGCCCGCTCACATCATCATCTCGCCACGCCACCTCTGATCAGCCACGCTCTAGCTCACCATTCTAGGCCGGGGTCGGCCGATCTCCACATCTATCAACATTTCTCTCTCTCTCCACTACTGCTCTTCTCCATTCTCCATCGCCATCGCCATCGCCATCGCCATCGCCATCGCCGTCTCCATCCCCATTCCCTGTCCCAACCTTTCCTCCCCCTCTCCCTCTCGGACACTCTTTCCATTCTGTTCTGACTCCTTAACTCCATCTCCGCTCCCGCCTCCGCCTCCGCCTCCGACACCTTGGCCCGGCACGCGACACCCCTCACACTCCACGCTCGTCCCTCTCCATCAACCTCCTCCCTCCCCTTTTACCCCGATCACCCAACACCTCGTTCTCCTCGCTCGGCCCGACGCACACGCTCGCCGCGCCCCACTCCGCCCCCCCTCTCCCCTATCCCCTCCACCGCCGCGCCCTACGTGCTCCTCGGCCCTCGCCCTCGCTCTCGCCCTCGCCCTCGCCTTCGAGGACGTAGGCCGAAACGCACAGACCCAAACCCCAGTTGCTCTTTGGGAGTCTCAGCGCGCGCCAAGGCACCTTGACGCTCAACGGCAACTGCACGCGGGCGATTGTCTCAGTGGAATCGATTGAATATTCCCCTGACTGCATAAGGTATAAGGCCTTGAAGCGCAGCGAAAGAGTAGCGCATTCCCCTACACGGGCTTGCTGGCTTGCGGGTTATAGTTGTTTGCCTGTCTCGGCCTTGCCGGTGTTGCTCCTGCGCACCTGCAGCCTCGGCGCCTTGCAGCATCAGAGCTAGACGCATCGACGGGTACGCCACCGAGGGCCGACGCCACCAAAAGCACTTTAGCAGCGTCGCCCGAGTTTAAGAATCACCAGAATCGCAGGATCGCTGCAAGGCACGCTACGCTAACTCGTCGCCGCCTGAGAGGGCCTGGCCTCCACCCAACCTTGCTCCTCCACCGATCCTCCTCCGGCCTCCGATCCTCATCCTCCTGCCTCTCGGCGCACTTTGCACACATCACACACTCTTTCTTTCCATCTTCATCTCCATCTCTCCCTCTTTTGATCTTCAACTCCCGTCACTCGGCGTCCATCTCCCCGTCCCCCGTCCCCCGCCGCCGCCGCCCCCTCCTCTTCCTCCTCTCCTCCTCCTCCTCCTCCTCCTCCTCCTCCTCCTCCCTCATCGCCGACACTCCCTCGCGCTGGCCGCAATCACGATGCTTCTCCTCCCACTTCTTCTCTTCATCCCTCTTGTCATCGGTACGTCC